TAAATACAACAATCTGTTCCCACACACTTCATCATGAACAATGGCAAATACTTGTACCCTCCAGAATGTCACATGTGTCTTCAAAGCTTCAAACACCCGACTCGTGAAATTGATTTATTCTCATAAAAAGTGGTCAAAAGAGGGCGCTATACTAACTATATGTACATGTATGCACAAGCACAAGAAGCCCTCTGGATAATCAGTGTTCACAATTCACATTCATGCAAACATGTAAAGATGTCCATACACTGTAGTACTTGCAGGAAAACATACACATGCTTAAAAACTGACACAAAATTTTAATGAAAAGAAAAATATAATAATTCATATCAATTCTCTTGAACTTCTTAACGTGCATTCACACCTTTCACATGTTCAGTTATGTCCTTGAAACAAAATGAATTACAAATTGTCCAACAGCTTCTATTCCTCAAAGGAATACTCACTTTTGACTTGTCAGTATCGTGTCTCTACACCTATCATAATAAGCATTACGCATTGCCAGCAGCAAAACTGCTTGTCACCTTTTTGAAAAATTGTTGGTTTAAACATTTTGTTTAATGGAGAGCTCTTATACATGGAGGTGTAACACATGCAGTGCATAGTTCTCTTACTTTTTCATTCATCATGGAGAAGTGCCTTTAAGACACAAATAATTTTCACCCAGTGTTACAGTGAGACACTCCATTTTACAATGGGAGAGTAGTAAACTGTAAACTCACTATCAATCCCAAATTTATTTTTAGAGAAACGACAGTGGACATTTTGAAATATCTCCTCCACCTAGTCTGCTCTCTACATTTTGAGTTAAATTCCAGAAATACATGATTTCAAAGAAGTAGCAGATTCTATTCCACGTTTAGCTTGATCCATTTTTATTGATAATTTATCTGACAAAAAAATTAGTTTCAAAGTGATCTTTTGGTCTCAATTTCTACCCTGCATACATCAAAATTTATACGTGTGAAATTTTATTCAAAAGCAAAGGGGACACAATTTAATGGATTTATGAGGAGGAAGATTTAAAATTTGCAAAGCTTAAAAGGACCCAGATTGATAGAAAGAGAGACCAAAGCGTCAGACATTCTTCATATATCCTGCTTGAAGCACCCATGGATAATATGCAAGAAATTCTGCCAGAGAGCAATTGGCTAAACGGCAGTTGTTGATAGACAGCCCTTGCAGGAGGAATACATCAACACCTTGGAAACGCAATCCAATTGTCCCATAAGCTTCTTACAGTAAATTATGTCTGGTTCCTTGACTCAAAGGACAGGAGGTTGAAGTCCTTGAATACTTGCAGCTTCCACTGTCTTGTCAGTATTTTCACATACTGAAATGCACTTGGAATTTGTTTTTATATTTTCTCTGCAAAAATAGAACGTGTTTCTGCCCAAACAAACAGCAAGGTAAAATTATTTCCACTTAATCATAGAATGTAGGGAAATGCTGCATACGAAAAACGGGATCACGATCAGAAGCTCAAGCATGTCATTAGAGTTGATTCCATGCAGGATTCTTATATAAAAAGAAAAGTCATGAAGAACTTGTTTTGAACGTTTTTGGGGTACCTAAAAACCTATTTAAGCTCTAAAAGTTATAAAAAACTTCACAAATCTTGTACCAGAAATTTTCTTAAAAATAAGATAACATTTCTTAACACTCACGAATGACACAGATACTTTGGCCACACATTGTTTTCTCAAATGTTACATTTTCAATGCTTTCAATAATAAAACAAATTCAGTGCATTTTATTTTTAACAATTTCCTTTAATACATACATGTATTAACATACTTTGGGCAACAGACTTTGGGCACAAATGAGAAGACTAGGCTATGTTCCGCCTCATTTGTCTCTGGTTTTTTTAACGGAACAAATGCCTAATGTTATACATAACAGCAGTTTGTTATTTAATTGCTATACATGTACTTCATGCATGGAGTATTTTGGATATATCCGTGGACCAATCTTCTCTTTTTCTTGAGAGAAGGGGTTTGCAACAAATATTTTTTTTAAGAGAAACTGACACAGCAAGGAATCTGAAAGCTTTGCTAGAAACAGATAATGCATTGATCAAGTTAGAGTCAGAGCAGGGAGAACTGATATGATAATAGGATCTTCCGTTCTACGGCAGGAATTTCATTAAACAATCTCTGCAGACTCATCTCTTCTGAGTTGATCCTATAATGACACACTGACAGAGGGGTGGGCTCAACCGCTGAGACTTAAAAAGAAAAAAAAAGGAAGAACGAAATTCTCATTCTTCTCATCCTCTCTGCCTATTCCATCTGCTCATTTCACTTTCCCTTATTTTCTTTCTCCAGCAATTTGGCTTTAACAAGAGCAGATCAGTTTATAGAATTCATGTGATGTGACGTTACCTAGCCGCCAGCATTTCCAAATTGCAATCAGTAAACAGAAACATGGTAAGTTAAAACCAAGTATAATTTAGACAACATTCAATATGAGGTTTTACGGGTTCACAATTTGGAAATTTGTCATTTTTAGCAGTAAGTTCATATTTTCATATAAAATTTCATTCACGTTGTGGTAATTACAGAGTTCTTCGTAATAGTTGGTAGCTATACTTTATACTCTGTGAGAAGAACTTAGTTTTTCATTGTTACTTAATTTCAGACGTCTTAGTATCAACTGTAGGACGTCACATAGTGGCGGCCATTCCACTCAGATGGAGACGAGTGCAAACACAAGTCTGATGTTCTTTTTACAGAAAAATAGAAACAGTGAATGAAATGAATATGCAGGTTTCTGAGGATTTGTACAAGTGACTAAAAATGTTAGTGTGGGATGATGTTTTTTTCCTTCTCTTTCTCTCTTCACATGACTACAAACAGGTGCAAAATGCATCATTACAGCGCTCGGTAAAATGTCCGAAAGCATCAGAGGTAAGCCTGGCGAACCAATATAGACATGACTTCCTCATAATTCCCATTTCAGAGTTCCGAGACTGCGTCATAATTCACACTGACAGGGAGAATTTTTTTCCCATCATGGCCACTATCGGAAAAGGAAACGGGGCTGGGGAGAAAAAAAACTGTGTTATTTATTTATATTTTTACCACTAGGGCAGGAGTGAGGAGTCTGAAGCATGGGAGAGCTGGAGCATGGGACCCCCCCCCCCCTTCTTCTCTCTCTCCCTCAAGGCAGGGATCACAAATGTACAGGAGAGGAGAGGTTAGAGGCAGGACATTTTCCCTGCCGACGACGTAAGCACAGATACCATGGTGACACGAGATTCCTTGAGATTCAGGGAATGTCTGAGCTGTGGGCCAGCGTCTCGGAATCCATCTCATCCATCTTCGCTCAAATTGTGTCAGGGACATTTTGGCATTGTAATGAAGGCCTCTTTTTATTTTTGTTATTTTTTTTTTAATGGCATGACGTGGATTTCGGCTGACCTCATTATGTGTACATCTTGCTGGTTGTAATAAGTTTTAATCGCAACCTACCTCACTGCTTCTGTCCTCTTTTTGGACACTTTTTGGAGAATATAATACCTCTAGTCAAATTTAAGAAATGTAATTAATAACACAGAAATTATATTTTTACTGAAAAACATGGGTAAAGTGTGAAGGGTACAAATTATCATTAATAGTACTATTCAGTATGCAAGTTCTTTACACAGCAGAAAACAAATTGTTCTTGATGTCTTCTGAAGAAAAACAGACACACAAGGATTTATGAATAAATGTTTTTATGCATTGGCACTTACCTTTGGGTCGATAAAGCAAAACAGCAACTAATTAAAACTGAACACTTGTTTACAGTTGTTTAACATTAACACTAATGCAGTACACTAAAGCAGTGGCTGTGTGTAAAATATCATTGCAGAACTGAGCCTTAAACAATTATACAATCTTCTTTAAAACAATTTTCAACTTCTTTACATTAACAGACCTGAATCCGCCATTTTGTTTAATTTGTTCCGCCAGTTTAAATAATAATGAAATGCATTCAGAGTTATCACCAGTTAATAAAGGAACTCCTGCATAAAAAAAGGGGGACAGACTTGTCATTACGGACAGAATGTCTTAAAAGATTCACTTTCTTCACAGAAGCAAAAAGTTCCGGAATTAATTAATAAAAACCTTCAGATGAGGAAATTAATGCGGCGGCACTTGGCAAATTAAAAACCGATGTAGCATCGGCAAAGGCTACCCCTCATGCATATATAATGCTGAGGCGAGCCCCACAGACACGTTAATGAAGTCGCTGGAGATAAAGACGAGGGGGAGAACGCTTGGTTTGGTGGGGACGGCGTGCACTCAAGCATGCCATGAAAGCCTTTAATAACTAACCATCGTGACAGGGTGTTGATCTGCGAGGCAGCAGAGTGTGAATACCAAACAGGTATTCAGGTCTCAGATGAAGACTTGGATGAGGTATCTAATGAGAATATGCAAAGTGGTTCAATTTACCGCCATGATCCATTACAATCAACCATTTCATGAAGCACTGCTTTGCGGTTTGCAGCATTCCTACACTCTTATGCTTGTCATCCCAACTGGCTAAAATTACGTAACAGTGCTTAGTGTTAGATATAATCCCAATAGAATTAAGTCAAACGCGAGATGTTTTGTCATCTCAATAATTCCCTCCAAAAAATATCCTCTTACCAAAGATGCTTTGTCTTCTATAATAATTTGTCTTATACTTCAAACATGATGCGACCTTATCTTATATTGAATACCAAATGAAATAAGTGTCATCTACTTAAACTAAACTAAAGATCCTTTATCCTGTCATGATAGGCCAATAAGGCTGTTTGATAATTCAAGTAGGCTATCCTTGAGTTTGATAATATTAGTAATTTATTGCCAATTTCATTGCAAAAGTATTCTTGTTCATGGTCTTTTCTGTTGTTACCTCCGTGTCTTTAAACTTTTGTATCCCCTCGTGCCGAGCTTGACCTGGATCTTAAACTGATCATCAAACTCATCAAAAAGCACTTTTCTGAATGGTTTAAACCTCCTTTCTACCACCGAAATGGTCTGATCGTCTGACATATCGCAAGGTACGTTTTATTGCTGTAGACTTGAAGTTTATATCTTTATAAAAACAATTTTGGAGACTGTAGAAACCAAAAGGCACCTTTGTTCTCTGTTCTTGAACCTGGGACATGAAACCTGTGTGAAGTAAAAGTCGAGTGGCAATGAAGTCCCTAATTCTTTATTGTACTGTAAAGCTAGATTCATGTAGTTGAGTACATCACAAAAAGACACCCACATTTTTGAGCCCAAATGGGTGCATTCTCTTGAGGTGCTCCTTTAAAAAATACTGTAACAGTGCACTGAACCCTTGGAATAAAAGCTTGTCGTGACATCCCCACCTTCCCAAAGGTCACGAATGACAACTAAAGGGTTTATATCTCCTGTAGTACTGATTATCTTCAAGATCACTTTCCAGAACGTCACAACAAGAAGCTATGTGTAGCCACACCAGGCACGAACGTGGCTCATCCTTCGAAAGGACGGATCTGCAGGGTGCCCAGGGCAGTGGGTTCAAGTTTAGAGTTTGGAATTTTGGAAGGTCTGCAGATGAACAAATAACAATCAGAGGATCTTACCAGAGGATACGGCCGCTGAGCTGTACCAAGTCACTTCCGGCACCGATGGCACACTGGCCCTGGTAACTGATACAAGGGCTATTCCATGACCCTGTGGCCAGGCCACTGGATCAAGTGTGAGAAAGTTGTCTTTTACATATATGCAGCCTTGGCAGTAAAGGTGACAATGACAGCTTTACTGCCTTTAAAGGTATCTTTCCCTCGCAAAGTGAAAGACACACATTTCGTCAAAAGACATTTGTCCTGTTAGAAACGTTTAAAGCTATTTTCAGGCTGGCATCATAATAAATCAGCAAGAGAAAAAAAAGGAAGTAGTTAAGATGGGTCGTGAATCAATATTGCATTACTCTTTTAAATTTGGCGATCACCAACTCTACCGAACAATTATTCATTCACAGCTTTGCAAGTGGAGGTTTGCTCAAATCTGACCCTATTATCCCGGCGGGTCAAGGCATACACCTGACGTAACTGACACTATTGATTTTGATGACTTTTGGAAAGAAATTAAGCCGAGCATTCTGACGAAATCAACAAGCAACGACAATGTATTTGGATTCATGATTATGGGTAAACAGGCAAAACGCTATACTCTTTCTCACTCTCTAACTCTCTCATGGTTTTTTTTTTCAACAAATGTTGAAAGACAGGGATATCACAGCTTTAAAGCAACACTTCCTGTGCTCCTGTAGAGGATGATTTCCATCAAGGCCTAGCTTCCTGTACTACCTCATCAAGGCCTGAACAGATCAGGATATAGCACTCAGGGTGAAGGATCTCACAAGGTGAGTAAGTAGATAAAAATAAAGCAACAAAAGGGCACTTCCAGGCCAGACACACCACTGAATTAAAAAACACAGAGCTACACACGAAGCTTTTCAGTAGGATACAAAACTGCGCAGCAGTGAAGGCATCCAGAGGTATCTGGAAATTACTTGTAACGTTTTTCTACCATCACAAGAAGCGGACATCTGTTTGTTGTATGAAGAGTGAAGCACTGTAATTCCATAGGAAAGGAAGCAAATACTACTTTTCACTGTTGTACTGACTCAGGTAAGTCTAATTACTCAAATTGTTCTGTGACTTAGCAACCCAAAAATGAAGACATGCAGGATAAAATATGATTCAGTGCAATTTCATTTTTGCTGTTCTTGAGAGTAGTGATATCGAAATTGTGTGGCAAAACAAGCCCATTTCATACTGTTCAGGTTCTGCATTCTTGGGGTAAAAAAGATATTAATGCCTCAACAAAACTTATGAGCAGCCACTTTTCTATTTTGAAGCTGGACAGAGCAATTGATTAAAAGCAGTCAAAGTACCGGTATATCTGCAATGATTATTTGGTTATTTGATTAATCAATCACTCTGTCCATCATTCAGAACTAACTACAGTTTGCCGTTTCCTGAAAACCACTTTGTGAAATATAGACTCTATTTGAGAAGGTGCAACGAAATGCACCAAAAACATTCTTAAGTCAACGCCCTAAAAAATCCATATATGTCAAGGCAATGGGGTGAACACAAAGACAGATACAGTTGGTGATAATAATGTCAAGACTATTGTCCTATAAAGGTGACATATTGCTTATTGAATCTTCCGCTGTTGGTTTCATTGTATGTATTACGAAGTGACAGATGGCACTGTAAAGATGTGTGGTACCAAAACACGATGATTTCACCACAGCTTCCAGTATAAATACAAGCATACTAAAAAAAATATCAGTCTTTTGATTCGATCGAAACTATACCTTACAAGAGAATGATCTTTTTGTTCAGAAAAAAATCAAACACTTGCGGGCCTGAGCCAAAAACTGTGAATTTGAAAATGTTCTTTGCGATCCAACTTATGCAACATTGTTTGTACGTAGATCATGATGCAGAGAGCAGTGTTGGCAACCCTGGGCCTACTGACCTTACTAGGTGTGGCCAGCCTAGCCTATGCCGATTGCCCTGCCTACTGGACCCATTTCCGTCGGCACTGCTACCGGTTCTTTGGTTCTCACAAGACATGGGGGGATGCTGAGGCCCACTGCAATGGCTTCAGCTCCAACAGCCATTCTGACGAGGAAACCATTGCCCACCTAGTGTCCATCATCAGCCAAGCAGAGAACGACTTCGTCTACACGCTGTGGGCCTCGTCTAGGGAAACCTCTAGCAACGCCTCCCAGCTCTGGCTGGGCTTCTACAAGCCCTACGGACGCAACTACTTCACCTGGTCAGACAGCAGGGACATTGGCTTCACCTTCTGGGACATCCAGAGACCCAACAATGTCGGCGGTAATGAGGACTGCGTAGAGATGTGGGAGGAGGAGATTGAACATCACCGTCTCAAGTCCTGGAATGACAGACCTTGTCTGAACAAAGCCAGCTATATATGCAAGATGCAGATGACACTGAGACCTGTTTAAAAATCCTCATCTTCACAGATATTTTAAGTACCTGTATCAGGGACTCCTCGAATATACTACTCAAACAAGGACAGGTTATGCTTGCAATGAAGAGATTGAAGAAAGACACTGAGGAAAGAGACTGACTAGAAGTCTAGATCTTCTACAATCAGATCCAGCCCCATGTTGGCAATTCCCAATTGTCAACATATTTTTGTGCAGGCATGCTTATCGGAAAATTTTATTCAATAACAGAACTTATTTTTAACCTGATATAAGTGAACAGGAATTAAAAACAAAAATAATGAATGCATTTTTACTTGTGCTCAAATGGCCCGTCTTAGAAGATTTAATCAAGAAAATATAGAACACAAGCTAAAAGTAATGAACAAATGCATGAGATTTGCTGCATATCAACTTCTATACCGAATATTTATAATGTTTGGCAATGATTGAAATAATTGTCTGCCTTACTAGTAACTGCCAGCAGATGTGAGTTACTGCATGAGGCAAAATAAAATGCAAAACAGTTCTTTTACACTTTTGTCCTGCTGAGTGCTATTAGGTCAGTAAGATTGAGACATCACATTTTTATCCCCACAAGCAAAGAACACGGTTATGGGAGCAAGTGCTACGGTGTACGTACATGTCATGTCAGTATACATTTATCAGCATTGGGGGTAAAACCATTGTTCTTCACAAAATAGATTCCAATCAATCTTGCTTATTACAACTTGCGTCTAAATCTGGTAGTTTGTGGATACAGCTTTGTGACTATGGTGAAAGCCACAACAACGCTCATTTCAGGTCTGACATAAAAATGACTTGAAGCTTTGCATGGTTGAATGTACACAAGAATGGGATCTGCAGATGACATTAGGTGAATATTAGGCAGTGGCTGAATCACAACAGTTATGGCCAGCAATAACATACGAGTATAGGGGAATGGCTGCAGCCGTTAGCCAGTGGCTTCCACAGATGCATGTTATTTCAGAACAAAGCCAAGGGCTTTGGGCACGTCCTTACACTCTTTAAGACATTTTGGTTCCCATCAAAGTGACTATTGGTGAGAATTTTTTCTTAGAGGTTAAGACTATACTCTGTCCCTCACTCCTTCAGGTTTCTCCTGAGGATGGATGGAATATATTATCCAAAACATAGCTCACTGCAGTATCATTCTTGAATCATTTAAGCAGATTGCATCTGACAGGACTCATAAATACTACTCAATAAACCATTACTGGGTAACAGCACAGTGGTTTTCCCACTCAATGTAATGGCTTAAATCGACCACAAAATCTAAGTCAGAATCTCTGAAACCTTTTAAGATGGTTGGTTTTTATTACTCAGTTCAACTATTCTGAGTGCAAGTAGCAGACAGGCCAAGTGAATACATTTAGTTCACAAAACAGATGCATTTCAAAAAAAATATTCTGACGTTTTTCACAAATGGTTTTTCCATCTACCTGAATTGGCAAAACGTACCGGTACACTGGCTCAAATTGACCACATGAAGGCATTCATACAAAAAATGTTAAAACAAAAAAATTGCAGAATTTGGTTTCAGGTGTGACAGCGGGTCATGTATGATATTAGTGCTACTTCAGGGTTACAGCTTCCCATGTTGGCAACAGACAAAACAGATGTCATACTAATGACTTCAATTTAGTATGGATGGGGCATGTAAAAGCTTCAAATCGCTGTAAGTTCTAACCCCAAAACATGGACTTTCTGATGGCAGTACAGACCAATTGAGGCACGGTGTCACTCCTATCATGATGGCCCCCTTCAATGGCAGAAACATTGTGCTAGCTATTGTCCAGACAATCCGTCATGGGGCAGTAGCTCTGCACAATAGCTTGCACGATGCTTTCGCCATTAAAGGGGGTCTTGATTGTGTGTGTACAGTTTCATGTGGATGCCTACATGTCTTATGCAGAGGGCGCCATTCAGATATAACATGGAGTATTCCTGTATGCTGTACAAATGTGTTCCATTCATTTGGCCAGTGATTTCATTTTTGCTTGATGTGCAATGTGATTGTACAGCCTACAATTTGTTTGGGAGCTCTTCCTTCAGGATTTGTTTATGTTTGAATATATTAAATAAATTGTACCCGAGGAAAGAAATGTTTTTTTCAAGAACAAGGTTTTGCCTTCCTCTCTTCATGGTTGAGTGGCCTGTTTCACAGACGAATGCTCGCTTGGTGGGGTGATCGTGTGCTTTGTGCATGATCAACTCATGAACAACTCATGAACACATGCACTCATATTGGTACACATATCAGAATATTAACGAGGTCAAAAAACAGTATTTCAGAGCTACCACTCTCCCAATTCCAAAATCAGTATTCCCAATAGCCAGAAATCTGTATTTTCATTCCAAAAGTGAGTGTATTTTTCAAAATTGATGAATACTGCTCATACTATCTGAACAAGCTAAAGTAAACTGCCATTACACATTAGTACTAGTAGTATAGGTTTAGTCGAAACTAGCGGCATTATTTCAAAAATGTTTCATGTTTCTGAAGTAAAAAAAAAAAAAATGTTTTGACACTTTGCAGTGTAGCTGTTGGTCAGAGTTCTACTTATTAGGCCTACGTGCCATTTCAAAAAAAATAGGGACAGTATATATTTGTTTTCATGCTGAACAGTTGATTTAGATGTAGTCAAAGTGTTACATCACATGCATATTTTCGGCCCGAGGTATTTTCATGTGCTACACAACAGCTATCAAAGCTGGCCCCCATGACACTTAGAATATGAAGAATGTAAGTCCTGCACACCACTAAATAAATGGGTAAATCAATAAATGCACAACGTCATTAGTCAGGAAGGGAAACCGGCCAAAATTGAACACAGTCTGCGACATCCGCGCAGTGTCAGCTCGCGTGGACTGCCATGAGAACCAGCCACGGGGTATGGGTGCAAGTACGAGCGTTAAGACCCAAAAATAAATACAGTAACTCGGAAAATACCGGAACACACTCAGAAAAGAGAGATCAAGTTACATAACATGTATATGGACTAAGTCGCAGAAATCGTCCTCCTTCATCGATGTTTATGTGACATCTTTATGATGTCAAATTCGACCACTGATTGTACACTATGGAATGCCATGATTTTCCAATGAATTTCACACACGTGCAGTGGTTTCTTATCCTGAAGTATTCATATAGGCACATGTGTAAAAAAAAAATACGGAACCAGACTAATAGCCGAGAGTAGAGAGAGGGCGCTATAGCAACATGTTCATTCATAAAACGGCCAGACTGTATGATGGAGAATGTGTCCTGTACTTTTTTTTAATACCTTCATATACGTATACAAAACGCAGAGCCAGTCGATGTTCGTCTTTTAATTTATACGCTAGCGATATCAGTGCAAGATTTTGCATGCTCGAACGTTATGATCGGATTTTACCATATCCGTAATTGATAACTAAGATTCGTGAAACTTTCATGAAATGTTTCATAACTGACATGTTTTCCGATATGAAATGTTGCCCAACTCACGCAATAAAATGTAGTGTAAGTTTTGTGAGATAGGCTGCTGGTCTGACGTGCTTTCTTGTTGTAACTCAAGTTCCTGGAGTAGTGCCCAACCATTGTGGAAACAGGCGCCTGGTTCCGAAATAATACATAAAAGCACATCATTATTTGACTTACCGGAATGGAGAATGATTCGGCTAGGTACTTGAGGATGGCAGCTTGCTTGGACAGCAGGTTTGTTCTCTCCACCATATTCCCCTGAAGGCTGCTATCAAACTCCTTGCGGACCAGTGACGCCACCGAGTCTAAGATGACCAGCCGGATACCTTTAGTGATGAGGTCCTCCTCAAAATTCTGCAATCTGAATGACAACAAGAGACAACTTGGAATATCTGCTCCCAAATTCATATCTCCATTGACCTTTGCTGTGAACATCCTCTGCTTGTTTAGTAAATAGATTTCACAGATCAACAATAACGGGTAATTTTATATAGCACTTTGAACAAACCATTGAAGTGGTTTAAACTGATACCCTGCCCATTGGGTCCACAGAAATTTCTTAAACCATCCCTACTCTCCAGGGAGTATACAGCCAGATGCACTCATTTTAAAGGGCGTAGCGGCTAATTTTAAGAAAATAATGATCTCAGCCCTCACAGGTACACATTTATTCCTGGGTGAGGAGAAGCAATTGTGACGAAGTGTCTTGCCCAAGGACACCCGCACTATAACCCTAGGCTGGACTTGAACCCACAATCTGCAGAACTACCCCGCAATCTTGAATTTGGTGTTCTAGGTCATAAGGCCACAGCCCTCCAGGTTAGAGAAAAAAGAATTCCTAACTTGAGGATTGCTATCTTGCTTTTAAGCTGTCACTTATGGAGATGTTTTGGTCACCAATAAATTAGGAAAAGTACTTGAAGGGGGAATAGACTTGTATTAATCTCCATTAGTACAATTTTTGCAATTATCAAGTTTGAAAAAAAGTCTCTTCTCTTTGCACCAAACTCAAATCTAAGAGTCCCATTGGACATGTGTTTGTTTATTAAAACAAAATTCCTAAATGGTCAAAATTGAAACTATCATGTCCATAATGAAACAAACAAGGCTTTAACCAGAGCGTTAACTGAGGATATTTTGGACACCCTTAAGGCAACTTTGGACAGCCTATCGTGTCATTTAAATGTATCCATCAGCATAAATTTTGCAACTTGGATACCACGTTTTTTCAGTTTCGGGCAACTTTGGACACCAGTTTTCAAATGCTGACTTGATACATGCTTCAGGACAGCTCCCAACATCAAGTCCAATAGACTGAACCATTAGCCCCACCCATTGCTCACATGCGCAACCACCAACCACACATGTGCCACTCCAATGCCAAACTGCACACTCCAGCTGCGCGTGTCGTATGCACGTCCACGCGCGTCAGACTTTTGTGCACCATTGTCCGGCACTTAATGGATTAGTCTATAGACAGTTCAGCGTCAGATTAGTCTTACCTGGCAAGGAGGCTTCTACACGTTGACTCCAGGTAAACATGAACCCTGCTGGTCAGGGCAACAAATGCCTCATCTTGACTGAAGTGGTTGGGGAATCGGCATCTCGCTACTTCAACTAGTCTACAGGTTGACAATGTTCAAAACAGAAACAACATGTTACCACAGCAATGTAAAATACAGAGTACATGGAGAACTTCACAATTCAAGAATTTGTTGGCAACATAACACTGAAAGGTACTGAATTGCTATGTTATGCTGGACGACGTCTAGGTGCATCTATATCACGTCTTCATGTGGATGCCAAGGATGTGGCGCCAAGTGTTTGTCTAAACCTCTCTTTGTCCCTGTTGGGAGAACGGTTGTCCATAAGGTAAGGGCTAAATTTTGTTTTCTGTTTTCGATTTGACGGACTGACCTCTCTGCTGAAAAAGCTGACTCTGTGTCAATGTAGGCTACTGCACCATCTAGGCCTCCCATGGCTACTGGCAAAGTGGCTAATACACTGAGCATGATACAAAACTGGGTCTTGCCGCACCCTGGAGGACCAGCAATCTGAGACTCGAGAACACAAAACAAACCTTTTGAAGCATCCACTAAGAGCTTATTAGTGATATTACATCTTATGCATTAACAGTCTTACAGTTGCTAAGGCTTTGCATCGTGCGGTGAGTTAATCCGATCACGAAACTGGACGCCACAGACAGAGCAGTGAACTGATTGCACTCGAAAAACATCTCTTTTTGAACGTGATGAAAAGTGTGCTCAGTATGATTAAATGGACGTAACCAAGCCAATTTTTCAAATTTTAATGAAAAATATATCAAAACGATTTTTAGCACATTGTTGGATCATGATAAGGGAAACAAAATCTGAAAGTTTCATGGAGATAGGGTCTTCAAAACAGGAGAAATTGATGTTCAAAGATTTTGCCCGCGAACATCTAAATGTCTGTGTAACCGTAATTTGAGCTCAAGTGATTAATTCAAAATATAGTATTACGTAAGGGGCCAAATCAGTTGTAGCAACCGTAACACTGTTAAGATGCAGTCAGAGACGATGGTTCGCATCGTTGGGACAGGCATGTGTAAACCGTTTGTGCATTCATTGTAACTACATGTAACGAAGAACTTGTCAATATGTAACACAGAAATTAGAAGGTCTGCTTACATGTAGACCAATCCAGGAAAAGCCTCACATTACATTCACAGAGGCCCCAATAATGGTGGAAGTATTCTGCCGGCTACTGTACAAAAAACAATCATTGTGGCGGCTGTTTTGTGTAAACATTGACATAATGGTTCCACCATGACTGGTTCTGTCATTACTGGGTTAGCATCTCCTAAGTCTTGTTCATCAACAATTCCTATTTTAATATGTTGATGCTTTAAAGGTGTACTCACCTTTCTCCTGCAAGTGGGCAAGATAAAATAATAATAATAACTATATTCATATAGCACCTTTTGCCAGAGGATACAAAGCGCTGGGGGAGAATGCAACCAAAGACAGGTAAATGAAGTAAATGAACATATGCGACCCATTATGTGGCACCTTTTTGCTAGGTGCCGCGGTGCATAATTGCTGCCACTGCCAGAAACACCGGGGCAAACAACTCTTAGCGACAAGTGTTACTGGGTTTTTTAACGTGCATTACATAACACACGGGACCTACACACGGAACCTACGGCTTTACGTCCCATCCGAAGGACGAAGCAATAATGGTAAAGTGCCTTGCTCAAGAGCACAAGCACCATGTTCCCACGGTCAGGATTCGAACCCATGTACCACGGCACACGAGTCGAACACTGAAACCATTGGACCACAGCGCCCCACTGACATTCCTGCCTCAAGACGACATTCCTGCCTCATGGTTAAAAAAAAGAAAAAAGAGAGAGAACATGTATGTCTTGTTTTGTATCCTTCCGGAATTGACCCTTTCCCTGCCAAGCACAACACAGAGCATCAGGTGTAAGAGTCTGTGGGACGTTGCTGCACTGGGCCATAAACATCAGTGCATAAAAGGCCAATTCTGAGACAACGTAAGCTAGTCCAACTAAACAATGCCACCGTTGTTTCATGCTGCAGTTGGCAACCACAAGACTCAGTTTAGTCTTGAGATTTTTGGCCTGATGGATCTTGCTACACCGGGCAGGCTTCTCGATTTGACAAGTGTAGCCTTGAGTGCAACCCGTACCCGACCCACTCCACATACATGTACACAGTAAAAACCCCGTAGTCTGTCGCACGCACAAAACCCGCAGTACTAATACCTTACGCTCACACGCAATGCCCCCATGTGAGAGTTCAGACCCTTGCTACGAAAGAGCACAGCCTTGATTCTTCTGTAATGGGTTTTGTGGTTTTGTTAATGAGGATGAGCTGCTTACAATTGAACGGATCTGATTGGCCCTTGATTGGATGCGCCACGCTGTTTAAAAACATGTAGTGGGTCGCTTCGTGCGCCGATGTTGGATTACAAAAACAATAGTCATTGATCTGTGGCGTGATTGGCCGCTGAGAAACGTACATTATTCATACTGGATAATTTGCATATTCCCTCACCCATCCTATTTGCCTGGGATTCGCGATGCAAAGTAAAGAAAAACATAAAACCCGGAAGCGACAGAAAAATCAAAGCTGTGAATCGAGCTGAATGCACGAGGGATGGGACTTGACTGCCTGCATTGGAAGTGTGTGAATACATTGTGGGATTCACGTGCGTGCGATCTGATAAGGGTTTCGCCGTGTATGGACGACGTGGAGCCCGGTAGGCTGTGGTCAGCTCCTCGGCCTAGCCTGGGCCAGCCAGCCAGCTATGGCACATCACAGACTTGTATTCAAGGCTATGACAAGTCTAGCATGTTGTTGCGCTTAGCAGGGTTTCTATTCAAATAACCTAGAGGGTTAAGATTAAACTGGCCACTTCATGATACCCACTAATACTAGATCAAAAGGAAGGCAAGTGTTCACAAGAGAAGCACCATCAACTCACCTCAGAGATTGTGCCTACTGGTAGCCCTCCATGCAAGACATGATCAAGCTGTGTTAGTGACGTCCTGAAGAAGGCTGGTAGCTCCTCACTACCAGCTCTGTCATACATGCACAATGCCTGCAAGGCAAAACAAGGTACCGGTATGTCTTTAAACAGTGTTCTTGTTCACTTGATGCCTTTTCAAGAAATATATACTGAATCTGCTGATTGGGACAGAAAACAGTACAGCAAGCTGTGACAGTTACACATGTACATGTACCGGTATAGGTACATAGATTACATTGTGTCTTGAATACGGTCATTTCAATGGTCTAGAACAGTCAAATTTATTTAACGAAAAAACAATGTGACATCATTTATGTCACTCAAATACTGCATACAGCATCGTTTATCTCACAAAAGGTGAAGCATGTCTGCTGTGATGTACTTAGTCCATGACCTTTTGTATGCAAGGGTTGCAAATGGCACCCAAGGCTAAGAAGGGGGGGGGGGTGCCATTTGCCCCCCAAGGGTGTACAAAATCCACAGACTTTCACAACACAGAGCAATGGACCTGTCGCCGTTTGCAAGTTAGGCACGCACCTTAGACAACCCTATGGAATTTTTTACTTTTTAAGTTTTGTTTGTGTCAGATTTTGCATGTTCCACGTCCACTTGTATATCATGTTAATTGAACAATATTTATTTAAAACGATTCTTTCTACCGCAATAGGTTAATTGTTTTGTTATTCCATGGTAAGTTTTCTTAAAATTGCTTTAGTCATTAAGCTTGCTTGCAACACCAAGACGGACCAATAAACCAATTTCAAGCCTCTAAATGGCTCTAAATGAACCAAATCTAGTGTAGCATTTGAGATATTCTGGCTGTAATCTTCAACTAAATACTTCTTTGGAATATGAAATTTTAAAATTCAGTTGTTTTGAGATATACATGTAAGTTCTCTGTGCAACACAACCAACTTATGTTTGTGTACAATTCACTTTTGTAAACTTCTGTCTTTGGTGAGGAAACTCAATGCATTTTCTAGCTCATGGAGTTAAGTCATCTCATTAAGTTGTAGGCAGGTTTATACGCAATGGGCCCAGAATCTCCCGCCAATGAAGTTATCAGCCTTGTTTACCGAGTCTGAAAAGATTCCGGCCATGTTGCTCAGAATCCTTCAACCAACCCCAAAGTCAATGGGCCTATGGCGGATAAACTTGTCCCAACTTATCCCGGGTATTTAATGAGATGACTCCCTAATGGAAGTTTTGGTTCCATACCGTTGTTTGTCTGGGTACACAAGCCCGACTGGCAACCAGAAGGATGGCCGTCAGTCTGGAGTCAGTCATTCCTGTCATCCTGAGCAGCTCCAGTTTTGTCTTGGATAACAGGTCCTTGGGTAATGAGTGAAAATTAAAATATTGTTTCCCTTTAGTGTGGTAAAGGGAAGCAGGGGAGGTATTCATTTTCAAATTGACAGTTTCTTTTTTAGGGATTGTCTATTTGGCATGCACTTTCACTGTGCACAAACATATTCACTTAATTCATAGATAAATAAACTTTAAAGTTTAAATATTCAGACTAGCTTGATTAATAAGACCACATTTTTCTAAGACTACTCTTTCTGATGTAGTGTAAGATAATAATAGCTGCCAATATTTTTTGCATCCCTCAAAATATGAGAACAGGTGTTGTACACTTGGTTCAATAAGCTCAACAATTTCTGGAAAAATATTAAAATAGGACATAATATATTGTAACTGGCACAGGACTTGGTTTACCATTCTTTCTGTTGGTTTTGTAAGCCATGTAAGTTGTCTAGTTGCAACCTGGAATACCTCAAATTCCATAACGAATCTTACCAGGTCTTCAAGGCTGGAAGGTCGTGAATGAAACACTCGCCATCTTATGTCAGTATCATTCAGTGCATCACTGATATATGTTCTTTGGCAAGCGTCTCCTGTAGTTAAAATTGTCCACTTAATGAATATGCCTGTTTTGTTAAACGCCTTATGGCTTGAGCTAACTCTGATAGTGTCTCATTTCATCCTCTGAATTTGTTCTTCATCTTGACTCAGATAAAAATCAGGATTGAATCCCTGTCCTAAAGCAGTGGTTTGGAAACTGTAGCTTTGTCTTCATTCATCATCTAAATGCCCTTTGTACAGAGTGTGCTGGTCCGTGCCAGCTTGCAGCAAGGTACATGTAGGTTGCCTTCGCTGATTCTCCCCAGTCATTTCAGGTCAAACTCCATCCTGTAGTCGGTCAAGGAACCTGCACCATTAAAAGTTGCTGGTCGAACTCTATATTGCTATCAGTTTTCATTGCTCCCTCTGCAATGGGCCTGAAGTCTATAGTTTCTTTTGTCTTCGTAGAAGTAAAGTGTAAATTTCAGCAACTGTCCAGCTGAGATCCCACCGCTGCCACCAAAATGTAACATGCACGGGACTCGGGGCCGGGGATATAACAAAGCCCTGAAGCCCACCAGGATCAGCCTGGAGATATCAATGACACTTGCTGAGGCTCGTAATTGACAAGGACCGGCAATTGGGGTTCTGTTGTAGGTGAATGTCTGCCTGGCCAGGTGGAGTACGTCTGTAGTCGTGACTTAGCGTTTGAGGTTGGCGACCTTCACATCAAGAACTGGTAGACTGCATAGGGAAGGGAGTGGGAGGAAAAGGGGTTGGAATATGGGGGGAGGATTGTCTAGCTTCAACCTACACGTAGCACACGCATAGGGAGGAAAGGTTAGGATTGGAGATTAGCTACTTGGCTAAGTTCTTTTTGATTAGGCAGATTCAAATAAAACTTATTAACTGACAAACAGGACTAACATTAACTGACAGACATAAATCAGAATTAACAGGAACAAATGTTTTGAAATTCAACAGGAAATTCTGTGTTTTATTTGACTATCAATCAAGTCCTCATAGAGAATACTTTAATCTCTTCATTTCAAATTGGGTCATGCATATTCTTCAGTGTAATCATCACTGCTGCTTGAATGCTTAATGCACCTAGGGCCAAGTTCAGGCAAGGACCATTAGTCGACTAGTGGTTGATTTGTGACGTACCTTACACCTGCGCACTGATAGTAATGTGCGAACGTATCTAGTCAAACGCTGGTCAAAATGTCATCGCAAAACTTCTGGATCCTGGCTCTCTACTAGCGTTATGAATGCGTGCGGCTATTGGTTACCAGCGATGCAACCAGCCCCAGTAGGTTGGTTCCAAATAGTCGACTAGCGTAGTCAACCAACGTCGACTAGACAGAGTTCGGACAAGCGTTAGTCGAACTATGGTTAACCATTGGTCAACTATAGTCCTTGCGCGAACTTGGCCTAAGATTGGCTGGGCTGGAAGTGAGTCTAATGCTGTGGTAAGCGCAACACTGGAGCACCAGGGAGCAATGTGACATCTCTCTTCACTGTCCCAAGGTAGGCTGTGGCCGCTACTCTCTGTATACTCACTTTTTAGGACATTGGTATTAGTTCTTCTTATCTTCTTTGTCTCACTTCTTCTTCTTGATTTTTTCTTCTTCTTTATGCCAATTTGCTTCTTCCCACTGCGCCTGTTCTGGAAGCATGCAGAGCAGTCAATTACTGTTCCAGCTCGCCTTTTTATAGATTTTCAGCAGGGCTAAATCTGGCATACAGTCAGCTCATTGGCTGAACCATGCATAGGGCATATATGCAAATGAAGTCACCTAACCTTTTGATGAAATCACAGCTACATTTGTTAAGTAAGAAACATTCACAACAAGTCAAGTAAACATCATTTTATTCAATACTTACATGTCTATATACTGGATCGTCCGCAACAAGAAATACTGAGAAAAATATGACCCTAGTTACATGTAAATGCATTTATAATAATCATAATTATTGTGTTATACAAACATTTCTTAACATTAACAGGGTTCTCCCCAGGATTTTTTCAAACCTGTGGGGGAAGTTTTGTTGTGATTCACCAACCTGCGAAGCCACGGCGTGGGGTTGGGGGCCCGCTTAAGGGCCCCGAAATATTTCGAACTTTAGAGGCTCTCTGGTGCATTTTAGAGCAAATCTGGGGAGTCTTTTAGGAAGATTTTTCCTTAAAATTTAGTGGAGATCTTGTGATATTTTTTGTAATTAGAGAAAAAAAATATCAAAATTTTTAACTTAAGAAAAAATCAACATTTCAAAACCTGTGTTAAAACTTCTTGAGCTAGAAAGTATGGATTATATTTACAAGCAAGTTTCAAATTAAGAAATTAAGGTGAAGAAAAAAATCACTTTTGCTTTCGATTACATGCCTTTCAAAATAGCGTCGGTAGGTCGAAAAAATTATTTCGCCAATTTTTTGGGCTGCTGATTGAATCATGGAGGAATAAAAACACATGATTGAATGGAGCATATTGAACAAGGAATCATGTAGTTTTGTGCCTGGATTATTTTCCTTTGCACCACCATGACCACGAAAATTATCTAGACTGATCATCAGAAGTGATTAAAACTTGCCTCACCTAATTAAAAATATATTTGAGGAGGTTGATTCCACTATATGCTTAACGTACATCACGGCCCCTGGCGCCATCATTCAGTCTGGCCGGCCGCCGGCCGTAAATCGCGCCGTGCACACACGGCGCAGTATCAGTGTGCATTACTGCACTGTGTATGGCCCATCCCATGTGGCCGAAAATTTTGCACTACTGCTCCTAAGAAGCACGCTACGATGTTTCGCCACAAGTTCGAGCTTTGCAATCTCGTCATTTTAATGGAAAATACATACACAGAAAATAAAGATCACGTTCTGTGAATTAATTTGCAGAAATTCTCTTTCTCCATCGATGTTTGTTTGGTGTTTTTACGATCCAACTTCGGCCGACATCATCATCATGCATGCACGCACGAGGCAGTAGTCACTGGTTCCGGTCCTTCATCATAGCATTGATACTGTTAGCATGCGAAGGGAACCAGTGTACCGTGTTGTATGCCCTAATATATAGCTGGCGGTCGACGCGAAAGACCCGTCATCGTGTGCATTTTGATCACACATGCATCAGAAATACGGGATTTTTGTCAAGATTTTGCATGTCAAGATGAAATAATGGCATATGAAACGATTATGTTGTGCATTTTAATGGCTTGTATAATAATTATATTGTGCGTATCGGGGGCTGAAAAATGTGATCGGCATTTTTGTCGGCGTATCGGGCCGCAAATTCAGCGTATCGGGCCGATACGCACATTTGTACGTGGGGAGAACCCTGATTAATCTACCTTTGTATCCATCTTGATTAAGTAAATTCATTTAAATACTTACAAAGTATGAATGGCAGTGTGTAAACCAACACTACTGAAGTTAACATGAAACCCAAAAAGCAATTACCACTGCACCAGGAGCTCTGTTTATCAACGATGGACAAAGTCAAAACTTTAAAATAATCATTGCTGTAAATATTCATTATTGTTTTACAGTGGATTTTCTCTGAAAGACGGGGGCTTGTGTATCTCCTTAATTAACTTAATTTACACTAAATTTATCATTCAGAAAAACCGCTTCGGTGTTCCATCGTCTGACGCCTTAGGTTGGCTGGTTGGGAGGCAGTACTTTGTCCAATATAGAGTATTCCCTGCCGTCAGAGAATTTTGCTGTTTCCGTTACCAGATGGATATCGATGCCAAAGTCAAAATGGGGCAGCATGTCTTGTCTTCTTCACCATCTTGTCCATCTTGGCCTGATGCCTCATCCACGACACTTTTGCACCAACGACTGAATGAGAAGTCCATCTCATGGTTCCCTTGGCTGCCAGGTGGTAACGAGTGGGCCGGTTCAGTGAGGGTCCCTCCTTGTGATCAGCAGCTTCTGCAGTGGTCTCCGTCTCCTGTGGTGGGTCAGCGATGAATGGGCAGAAGAGGCTGAGGCATCTCCAAAATTAATGATGGATGTTGGTGGATTTCTATCTGTGGTAAAATCCATCGCAGTTACAATGTATAGTGTCAATCCACTGCTGTATGTCGCTGGGCTCGTCGGTGTCGGAGGGAGCAACATCTCCACCTGCAGCGTAGAAACTAGAAGGCTGACCATTGGCATCTCCAAGGTGGTCAGAAGTTGCTGCAACTTTTCCTCTCATGGTCCGGTTGTTTGGTCTCTTCTTTAACAGCTCTCCTTGGCAAGGGATGGAACTCTAGACAATCAAAGTGATCCACAGCCGAATTCTGCACGTTATGGGGGCATCTTGGCATCTTCTCTCCTTCTGTAGGTGTCTCTGAGTCTGTCAGTACAGTGGCTGAAGATTTGGGTTGGCTGCTCTCCATCAAGGTGGAGAGCCTTGATGTTGGGCTGTCACTACCAGTGTTTGAGATAATGCTTGGCTGCTGCGTTTTTGAGCCTCTTGAGGCTCTTGGTGGTG